GAGGCGCAGGAGGGAGATACCTCAATGTAGAGGGCGGAGGGCGCTGGAAGGACGTGTTTTGGGTGTTGGTGTTAGGGTGTCGGCGAATCCCGGGGAGAGGTGGAGGGTGTGATGTGTGACATGTTGTTTCTCGCTGACATGTTTTGTGGGTGTCGGTGTGGAGCGTTCTGACCAGATGTGTCCTGGTACACTTGGTTCGTATTGTGGGTGTTCGTGCCGGCAACACTTTATGGTTAATATGCATCGTGTGCGGATGAAAGCGGGGTCCTGTGGGTCTTGGAGGGTGCTTGTTTTGCCTAGGGCATTAAAAATGTGGGCATGTTCGACTTTTTTTTCCTAATTGATAGGAGGGTGTGAATCGAAAACGTTGTTGTCGTTGATACAACTTTTAATGATGTCTCTGCATCCCTGTATTAAATATTCGTCGCGTGGGTGAAACATTNCTCGACTTTTTTTCCCTAATTGATAGGAGGGTGTGAATCGAAAACGTTGTTGTCGTTGATACAACTTTTAATGATGTCTCTGCATCCCTGTATTAAATATTCGTCGCGTGGGTGAAACATTGCTCCAGGTTGCAGACCTGAAGGAGACCCACACACACGCTAAAAATTGGGGTCTTGTCGAATCCCATCGCGAACACATTCCTGCGCTTCAAGTGAGCATGCGCGGAGATGGGAAAAATTGCAAGGCTCCAAAATTGCGGAATCAAAGCGTGCCTCAGAGTTCCCGCCAACACCCAACGTAGTATTGGGTTGCAAGAACAAGTCTTGCAAATAGGAAAACACCAAACGATATGCATGTCCGCAGATTGGCGGCACGGCNGGAACAAGTCTTACAAATAGGAAAACACCAAACGATATGCATGTCCGCAGATTGGCGGCACGGCAGGTTACCCCCAAGACAGCAATGTCTTCGGCGTTTTTCAACCATATTATCCTTGATACTCATTTGTTGCCTCAAGGCATCCTCTCAAAGTGTTGTTGCCAGCCAAACAACCCACACGTCTCTGCGGAGGCGCACGTATCCTAAAAAAAATGATGCTACGAAAAGACTAAGTCGTTGACTCAACCATGCCCAACAAAAAAATTGAAACCTCCCCCCCCCCTGGTCCCAAAAAAAAAGAAGGCTACGACCCTCGCAGCAAGCAAGCCCTGCAGCAGGGAGAGAAATAAAAAAACGCATCCTCGTGTTCGTTGAATACAGTCACAGCAACTTGCCCGTGAACCACAACGGTCTCGGCTTCTTCCAATATATTTATTTTATTGATACTCCTTTGTTGCCGTAAAGCATCCTCTCAAAGTGTTGTTGCCTACCAAACCCACACGTCTATGCGGAGGCGCACGTATCCTCAATGCTGCGACGAAACGAAGACGTTGACTCAACCATTCCCAACGATAAAAATGAAACTACCCCCCCGCCCCCCGCCCCGTCACGCATGCATAAAATTCGACGATTGCACGGTAACACTCTTCCGGGAGTGCATATGGGTGTTATTCGTCGCCAAACATTTCCTTCTCGATGCCGGCCAACATTTTGCGCAGGAATCTAACTCTCGTCTGATAACCCTCTGCTTTTCCCTTCTCCTCCTCCAAAATTTTCTTCGAGAATTCGGCGTGGGACTCGGTCATTTCCTTCTGGAGGGCGAGGCCAGAAGCCTTGCTGTCGTGTTCAGCAGTCTTGCAAGCGTGTTCCTCTTTTTTTTTGTACCACTCTGATTTTTCTGATCCGCCAACCTTTTCCAGCAGTGGCTCAATATCTTTGAGTGCGGTTTTCATGGCAGCGGACGTAGCCTCTGCCACGCTTTGCCCCACCCCCTTATTCTTTGGCTTTTTTCCCCGCATGTTCTGCTCGTTGAGCCTGGCGCCCTCCCGCTTGGCGGCAGCCCGGCGGTCGGCACCGCCTGTGCAGACAATACCCTCTCCGGTCCCGTCGTCCTCTCGCTGAGCGCCCTCGGGGAGGAGATTGTTGCACACTTGGTTCAGCTCGGGGTATTTCTCGATTGCGCAACCGAGAACATACGTGTCCGTGCACCCTGTAAAACAAAAAAAAAATGCAAGGCGCGGGCGGGAGTTTTTTTTGGACCAATTGGTATGGTCTTTGGTCGTGCTTCAAAATACACCATCAGGCCTCAATGCCAACGTCATTCCTGGAGCACGGTTTACAACACTGTCGAGAACTCCAAGTATAACATCAAAACTCCGACCGTAGCAGCACTTGCACGCTGTGAAGGAGGATGGGCGGAATTTATGCCACGACCACAAAATCGCCCAAGGTTCCTCGAGCAAACAGACGCTATTTTGTACCCAGCCCCACTCCACCCATCCCTAACCTTGACAAAATGAAAGCCATTGCTGGTTGTTGCCGGATTCACTCTTCCAGTTGGCATAAGGCTGGTTCCACTTCGC